TGTTTTTTTTTTTTTGTTTTTTTTTTTTTATAAAGAATTTCATTCTGCTCATCTAGTTGTTTTTTCAGTTCCTGAAATTGTTGATATGATTCATTTTAGATCTCAATGAGTTTTTTCAGAAGTATCATCCTGAATTCTCTGTCATTTAAGTTGCATATTTCAATATCTGTAAGCTTATTTTCTGGAGATTTTTCTCTCCCTTTCTGAGCTGCCTTGTCACCTTGGTTGTTCATGGTGTTTAATGGACTATTTCTTTGCCTGGGCATTAATAGAAGTGTATTCTGATTTTTCCCAGAAAGAAGAGTTATTATATAAAGATCTCTCTTTAGCCTGTTGCAAAGGTGCTTTTCTTTTGGTTTCCAGTAGGTGGTGTCTAAGCCTCTTGGATCTGTGCTTTATATAAAATCTTATAATGCTTTTTATTTTCTTGTAGATGTTTAATCATGCTCACTTCTCTCAGTCTTAGTCCCTGTCAGTGTTAGCAACAGTTTCAGTAGCGTTTGCTCAGATTCCCCTGGGACTCTGCAGTGTTCAGTCTCAGAGGATATGGGGGGAGGGGCCCTCTGGTTGGGGAGTGGGAGCTGTGGCTCAGCCTTGGTGTTATAACTGTGGCTAGTAAAAATCAACTGTTGTTTCTCTGCCATCCTGTTCCGCTTTTCTGCTTTCTGCCCTGATGACTGAGCCCTGCCACCGGCAGCGTGGAGCTCACAGCACTTCCGGGGAGGGCTGTTCAGAGAACTTGTCGCTCCTTCTCCTCTCCCCCTCCTCATGCAGGAAGCTCCGGCAGCTGTGAGAGGCAGCTTTATTTCTCCTAGTCCACTGCCCAGATACCTGGGGTTCTGACCTATGGTAGCTGTTATGCACAGATCCCACGCTCAGATGTGCTGGTGTGCAGTTTGGGTGTTTTTTGTTGAGTTTTAGATGTTCAGCTTATTGTTGTTTCAAGGAGAGAGATCTGGAGATGTCTCCCACTCCGCCATGTTTCTGACGTCTGAAGGCTCCACTGGGAGAGGATCTGCTTACAAGATCACTCGCATGGTTGCTGTCAGAATTCAGTTCTTTGTGGACTGTTAAACTGAAGGCCTCAATTCCTCAAGGGCTGTGGATGAGAGGCCCTCTTCAATTTTTTGTTATGTGGGCCTTTCCAAGGGTGCTCACAGACAGCAGTTTGAACACCATGGGGCTTGGTCCGGATGGGTTGATTGTGAGGTTTCCTGGGAGGGTGAACAGGGCGAAAATGGAGCCCTTGGGAAGTGCTGTGTGACTCTGGGCAGGTAGGGGATTATCAGAAGGTCCATATAAATGTACAGAGAGAGGGTGGGTTGATACCCGCTAGGTACCGGAAGCAACTCAGATAATTTCTTTCTCTCATTTTAATAAATACCATTTACCTTTACCTTGGCATACAGGGGCTTTTGTGGCAGGACTGGATGCTGGGCTTGTTTACAACTCCTTCCCTAAGATGGGAGAATCTTGGATCCCAGAGGATCTCTTTACCTTCTCCCCTACCCTGAGGAATGTTTTTGAGAATCCCACCATGGTGCAGTTTGATCACCGGCTCCTGGTAAGTCTGTCTGGTGGTTACTGGCTACCCAGCACAGGGTGCCTCTCACGGGCTTTGGGGTGTCTGAAGCACTAACGGCAACAGTGAGGGCAGAGTGGGAACTGGATTTCCTTTTCTTTTTAGAAGAAATTTAGTACCAGATCTCTAATGTGCTGTTTTTGTCCTGTTTACTCACACCCCTCCAGCCAAATTTAGACTTTCAGGATACTGCCAACTTCTTAAAGTTTAAATATGCCTTTCACCATCTGGTAAAAGATAACTGCTCTCATTCCTGCACACACATAGGAGAGTCATTTTAGCAGAAGTGAGGTAGAGTCGAAAAGAGAGTGCAAAGACAGTAGTTGCCGAACACACAGCTATCAGAGCTGAACCAGAACCCCAAGGAGCCAAGAGCATCACAAATACTCCTTGTATCATTTAAGCTAAGGTTTATTAAGGGCCTGCTGTGGGTCATGTTAAAATTGGCTTGGGTCTATGGCCATGCTACCCTGAACAAGCCCAATCCCATTGATCTCAGAAGCTAAGTAGGGTCCGGCCTGGTTAGTACTTGGATAGGAGACCATCTAGGAAGACCAGGTGCTATGGGCGTAAAAAATTAAAAAATAAGGGATTGTAAGCTGACAAGGTCCTTGCAATCTGTGAAGTCAACCAAGGGTTGCCTCGCATAAACAAACAAATAAATAAATAAAAGATTGGCTTGGTTTCTCGGGAATGATAAACTGGAGCAGGGAAATAGCAGCAGCAAGGATTCCAATGAGAAGCAGAGTGCAGTTGCAGTAAAGCAGGTGAGAGGGATGGGGTTCAAGCCTTCCTGGTGGGAGTGGGACTTGAGGAAAATGGTGAATCTAAGAGAGGAATAGAAGATTGGCTGTAGAAGTGAAGGTGAAGAAAGATCAAAGGAGATCCCAAAGTTTCTTCTGTGGCATGCTTAAAACACAACCAACAGAAATGGGACTATTGGAATGAGTGTGGAGCTAGAGAAGGGAGGATGTCATCAGATTGAGGTATTTTGAGTGTGAGAGGATAGTAGTACATCCAAAGCAAGAGGTCCAGAGGACTCAGATATCCAAAGAGAATACTAGGGCTGGAATCTGAGTTAACCTTGTGTGGGCTCAGTCCCCACCACCACACATGCCCCTCAGTCACTCAGAGACACCTGAGTGACTTTGGATTAAGCAAAGTCTGGTTAAAATTGTCATCACTGACAGCTCTGAAAAGGAAAATAAGTGAAATAGGTATAGAAATATGACAGAAAACATTTTCCTTGACATCATGGAAGGCAGAAGGAGACCCCATTGCCAGTCTCAGACCCTCATTCTGAAGGGGCGGGAATGAACACGAGACTTTAGATCTTTTTTCACACTAGCTGGCAGCACCACCACTTCCTGTACTCATAGCCCAGAAAAATAATAGCCCTCATGTGCTGGGGTCAGCCCTATTTTCAAAAGACAGGATTAGAACTCCTTTCCAACTTGAGCCCAGCAGGATGGTTCGGGCAAAGAAGGGTGGAGAGAAGGGCCATTCTGCCATCAACGAGGTAGTGACCAGAGAATACATCATCAACATTCACAAGTGCGCCCATGGAGTGAGTTTTAAGAAGCATGCCCCTCAGTTGCTCAGAGAGATCCAGAAGTTTACCATGGAGGAGACAGCAACTCCAGATGTGTGCATTGACACCACACTAAACAAAGCCATCTGGGTCAAAGGAAGAAGGAATGTCCCATTCCGTATCCCAGCGCGATTGTCAGAAAATTAATGAAGATGAAGATTCACCAAACAAGCTCTATACGTTGGTTACCCTTGTGCCTGTCACCACTTTCAAAGATCTACAGTTAACGTGGATGAGAACTAACTGCTGATTGTCGAATGAAGATATAAACTGCAAAATAAAATGAAATAATAAAATATAATATAAACAGGATTAGAATAGAGATAAAATTAGGGCTAAGGATACAAAGAATGATTTAAAACGTGAGGGCCAAGCCTGGGTGACACCCACATTGGAAAGTGGATGAGATCACTGAAAGAGAGTGTGTGGATAAAGTGATAGGTGCAGAAACTTTAGGTGATGCCCTGGGGAACACTGACATTTAAGTGGCAAATGGAAGAGGAGCAGGAAAGAGACTGAGAGGCAGTAATCAGAGGTGGAACTGTAAGCGGTTCTCTGTCTGGGGCAGGAAAGTGCTTAGTGGTTACTCAATGGTTCTGGAGGAGATACCTATAAGGTGAGCAGAAATCGGGAGGGTGGGACAGTTCTTCCCGGCACTCGATGACACT